TCTACATTCCAGGTGCAGATTTTTGACTAAGGGAGAAAAAATCAAATAGCCTAGCAATCAGGAAAGAACACTGAGGCCTGAGAAACTCTTCTGCAAATGGGTCATATCCTTCTTTTGTCAGGCAAAGCAAGTCTGGGCTGCTAGGATTTCTGGGAATCATCAATAGTCAGTTACCTGAGATTCAGGAGGTGACCTTGGTCTCCTTACAACCTGATCCGCCTTTATTCTCACTCTCACTGTGGTTTGCCACAACATTTTAAAAAGTTGAAGAGTGCTAAAAGAATTTTTCTGGTCTAGAATCTGTCCTGGCCTTCTGGAGGAAAATAGTGATTTTCTCTCAAGGACAAAGAGAAAACTACTACTCAGTCAGACCCCACAAAAATTACAGTCTCTGCCCCGACTCCCATTATCAATCCAAATACACTGAAGATTAGTCCTCTATTATTTCTCCCACTTGCACCCCTCTGACCATTTTCACCTGCGTTAATGCAGACTCCCAACAGTCCAAAACTCTCTGATAATTTAACAGGAAAATAGTTCAGATAGCAACAGCAGCACTCAGAGACCCATGAAATATAACCTATGAGGAGACAGCAAAAGAATTTTTGTTTTCTTAAAGACAGAGAAGACTGAACAGAGACATGATAACAGTCCTCAAAAATGTAAACAACTGTAGCAAAGAGGAAGGAAATAATCTCTTCTCTCCCACGTGGAGAGGATAAGAATAACAGGCTAAAATTGCAGCAAGGACTTTTTTCTTTTTTTTATTATGTACTAGCAAAACCACTTATAACTGCTAGAATGGTGTCACTGAAGCACTGGGATAGCACTAGGATAGGTTGCCTTGGAAATCAACGTCTGGAGCACTTTCAAAGCAGGCTGGATCAGCATCTGTGTTAATGGGGCAGATACCCCTGACCTGCTGTGCTCTTGGAGCTGGAGAAGGAATGGGTTACTCTTTAATATCCTTTCTAGCCTTGCTTTCATAAAATTTAATAATTCATTGGAGACATACATGTTCACTTTTCACCCTCTGGGAGAATTTTAGAAGTACTGCTTGCACGTGTGTGCTCCTTGCCTCCAGAGCCTTCCTTGAGATTATTACTCTTCTCAACACTGGGCTGTTCTCTGTGGCTCTCTCCTCTAACAGGTGAAGCTAGTCTGGCCAACCAGGAGCTGTAATCCTACCAATAATTAAAAGGACTAATAAAGAAACCACAGAAAATGGGCCTTTGCCTACCTAGGCACCTGCCTTCACTTCTACAGTAGCATGCACTACAGTGCTGCTGAGCTTTGCTTTTCCACCTTTTCAAACCTTTGCTTTTTTTATGTGTTCTGAAACACAGAAAAGAGGACCTGAGACAAGAAGGGTTGGCAGGGGCAGTCCCTGGCTGCCACAGGCAGCTGTAGCAGGTAATCCCAGTGGCAAACTCAGCAAACTCCATCCCCAGTCTGGTTCACTTGTTTGTCCTTGCTGCTCTCACTGGCTGGTTTCTTCAGAACATGAGCACTTAGGCAGCCAAAAACCTTCCTCTACTTTCTAACCCAGCATTTTTTCTTTGCCAGTTTATTAATTAGTTCTTGTGCTATTGCTGCATTTCCATCTCTCTGGAGTTTTCCAGTTCAGCATCAGGATCCCTCATGGTTTTCATTGTGTAAGGCTGAACAGGTCAGGCTGTACTCTTCTGTGCCCAGGCAGTCAGGTAAATGCACCCACAGCAGATCAGCAGCACTCTTGTTTCCTGAGATAGGGCAGAGGTCACCCAGAATTACAGGGTGGAGAAAGAGTGTCCCAGAACCAAACCCAACCCACTTTTGTAACACAAGATGAGGGCCTGTCAAGAGTTAAGAAGTGAAGTCTCCCTGTTGGAAGTGCAGTTGTCCTGCTGAAACTGTTCCATCTTGGATACTCTCTGGAGTGCTGCGACAAATCTGAGAGCGGAGAGCAGCTTCTGCAAAGAACTCAGCCTTCAATGAGCATGGCTGCCTTCTGCTGCCAGGTGTCTCTACTGGATAGAGCTGAAGGCCACAGATTTCAGCTCTTCTTCCCATGTCAGAGGCAGCCCCAGCGGGGCAGCAGCACTGAGCGCTGCGGTCACACATCCAGCACTGCAGCGCTGCTGGAACCGGCCCGTCCCCACCCTCCTCCACTCCCAGCTGCTTTTTCCATTTCCCACCGGACGCCCTCCCTGCTGCCAGTGGAAGTGTTTGCTCACTTATGTGCAGAACCAGGTCAGGGAGCTGATCCCAGCCAGAAAAATAGCCTGCAACTTTATTTTTCCTTCCAGCTGGAAGAAGTTCTGTCTGGTTTCTTGGGTGGCTGCGCAAGCGCTTGGGTTGGCATAAGGGAGGGAAGAGGATGGGGATGGAAATAAGCAACTCTGCCATGTGTGCTGCTCCCAAGTGAGTGGGGCTGATCCACAGAGCCTCTCCTCTGCTCTTGGCTGGCTGATCTCACAAGGAAAATCACTGACTTGTTTTCTGTCATGCCCCAGATACTCCCCACCCTCCTTTCAGGGAACGCTGCTCTTCCCCCATGCCACCCATTTTTGCTCTAACATGCTGTACCAGAAAGAGTCTCCAATCAATCAACACCATTGGAACAGCCCGGGTTCAAAGGTGTCCCACCTGTCTTATGTTATGCAAAAGAAGGGAGTTCAGAGGCAGCTTAGTCTGAACCTGGTGAGTGCTACTCCTTGTGTCACACAGTCCCTTCTGGAAGCTGGGCTGCATGTTCTGTGCCTGAGCTTTTGGACCATTACAATGGTGCATTCTTGCATCATAATAAACAGTTACTGGAAAGATATTTTGGAAAATGTGGCTGTTTGTAATCACATTTAGAAACAAGTATATCTAAATAACTGTGTTCATTGAGGCACTCCTTTCTTGGGCAGCTATTATAACCCACTTTAAAATAAACTCCCCTCTCTTCTCACATTTTTTGGCTCTGAGTTTTGCTATTAATGACAGAGACAAACCATTTCCAAGAGTAATTTTATTATTTGGAGTTTTCTCATTTGAATGTGTTTGGTTCCTGACACTTCCAGGGAGGCTGGTACAGCCATTACCACTAGCACATTTGCAGAAAGCCTCTCTCGTGTTGTCCTGAGAGAGGGCAGTGAGGACCTGGTTTGACTGAAGGACTTACAAGGACACAGGGGTTGCCATAAGTTTTGACTGATTTCTGTAGTTACTCTGAGGGCATTGTACAAGATTACTACTCTGCAATACCTCCGTGGAGAGTGTGTTAAAACAAAAAGCTCCTCGCATGGCATTTAGATATATTCAGAAAAAACAATTTCAAAAAGACACATTGTTATATATCATGCACTCTTGCTTGAAATTTGTGCACTGGTAATATTTGTTCATCTACTAAATGGAATCATAGATACTTCATTCCTGTCTGACCACTAGAAAGTATTTTTTAGTTGGTTTTATGCTATATAAAAACTCAAAAAAACTTTGGCCAGCTTTCATGGGCTGTTTGCTGGAAGCCTGTTCACAAAGGACCTGTACAAGATGAAGCCCTTCCAACTCCCAGGAATGCCATAATGAATACAGTTGGCACTTACCCAGGGTAAATTATCTATTAATAAACAACATATATTTATAACTTGATTAACCATAGCATCTTTTTATAGACTACAGTAAAAAAAAGTAAATTGAAGCAGGTAATTATCTATATTAGCATCTGTGCAATAGTATACTCACAGAGAATTTTAGTTAACATGTAGGTTCCTAGCAGGCCAGCAAGTCAACAACAGGAGCAGATGGCTGCATTTGGAGTTAAATGCTCTTTATACTATGGGGAAAAAAAAGGCAAAAGCCAATACGTGCTGAAGAGCAGCAATGAGTAATCTCTTTCCCCTCACCTGCACTTCCCTGCAGAATTCAAACAATCACTTCAGTGATAACAAGAAGCAGGGACCTCAATTTTCATTCAAAAGTAGGAACCTTGGTGGTGGCTTTTGATTATAGAATCAGCCTAATGGTTCCTGATGGGCTTTCAGCCTTAGGCCAAATCCTAAGGATGAAATGAGCTGTATCCCAGCCCTGTTTTCCTGTGTAACACTAGCCCAGTCCCTAAACACATCTCACTGCTTCAGCTCATACATCCGTACATTAAAAAAAAAAAAAAAAAAAAAAAAAAAGAAAAGCTGTATAAGAGGAATGCAGAGGGGTTACATTCATCAGCATTTTGAAATGAACTTGCAGTACTAAGCACTAGTATTTTCACTGCAAAATGAGGCCTTTTGCTGGGAAGCATCAATGCAACAGGATCATCTACTGACAGACTTGTCAGCACTTTTAGGCAGGCTGGAGTATTAGAACATGCATTTGGCTGAACTGTTTAAACAGAATATATTCCTTACCATAAATTTTCTGTGCTACTGTAACTACAGAAATTCTCTTTCAAAAGCCAAACATGCCTACCTGATTTGCAAGTAGCACAAAGTAGCACTTTCTCTAAAATCTAGAGAATTATTGCTGATATTTCTGCCTGAGGAACCCATCTAATAATAATAGCAACATGTTTTCCTACACTGTGACTTGATTCTGGCTGCACACATTTCCATTCCAGCATCATTCATAGCTGTTTTTAACTTCAGCGAAAAGCAAGTTTTCATTTCAGCTAAGACCAGACATATCAAATTCAACTGAAAAAAATGTTGGGGAGGGAAAAGGAAGGGCATTTTGGCTGGGGAGGAAAATGAGAAGAAGGGACTGTTAAAAGAATAAAGTGTGAATTTTCTCTGAGATGTAACACTATCTTAGCAACAGCAGCAGCAACTAGCAGGCACAACTTTGTGGACTTTGTTTTTTCACCTCTTGGTTTTTTATCTGTACCTTCTGCTGTGTGCTGGGGAAGGAGGGAGGGAGAGAGGGAAGAGATTGGGATGGCTGCTGTGGCTTCTCAGCCCATGCCAGGAACCTCTTGGTACACTGGCTGCATCCCCACGTCCCTGCCCAAGTGAGCTCATGGGGCTCAGCTGGGCTCGCAGAGGTAGCGCGGACACTCAGTGAACACGAGTGTCATGGAAAGTCTAAGAGGGGCACTTGTTCCAGGGCTGCCTGGACAATGAAGAATCGGCTGCCACCCCCTGTCTCGCCCCCCAGCCCATGCCAGGGGCGGCTGCCGGCACATGAATAGCAGGACTGTTCCAGCAGCTGCGCCCTGGCTCCAGAGGCTCCAGGAGCACAGAGCGCTCCGCTCCGGCTGCTCCGGGGACAGAGACCTGGGGACGCAAGGATGGCCTCAGAGAGGGACAGCACCAACCCTCATGTGAGTCTGGCTTGGGGAAATATCCACCAGAGGGGGAAGTGGGAGGGAAGAGCCCCAATTTGAGGGGAAACATCCATCGCTTCTATCATTTGCTCCTCAGCTCTGGCAGCAAATTTCCTTTGAAAAGTCAGTTCTGCTTTTTTCCTCTGTTCCCCTTTGAAGAAAAACCAGTGGCAGGATGTCTGCGGTGTTCTGCCAAGAGCAGTTATGAGCCTTTTTCAAAAAAAATAAGGGTTAGAAGAGGGATATTACTAAAAAGATATGCTTTTTAGGGAAGGAAGGGCAGCGGAGGAAGAGATTAGCCTTCAGCCCTCAGAAGGAGGCAGCACATACTCTACAAGCTGCATAAGTCTGATCTGTCCCTCATCTCACAAAGCCTTTCTCTGTTTGGCAGAAAGTACTCTCAATCTGGAGAGGAGAAAAAGAAATAAATACAGCAAATACTGAGGGAGTGAAGAGGCCAAGGTTTCCTATGTACAGTTTACAGAGAAACAAAACTTCTTGGTGAAGCTCTTTCACTTCTCTGTGTTCCTACTCTGAGTGTTTGTGTTTTTTAAGAAGGGTGTTTCTTGTGTGCAGCGTGCGTTCTCAGAAAGGGCAACTACCCAAGGGCTGGGAAAAAGAGAGGAAATGGAATCAAAAGCCCAGATCACAAATTACCCATCAAACCTCAGAAGTTCAAATCCAGATCTGCACTTCAGACAGCTGTGAAGGGCTGAATATGAAGCATTGCCTAGGGCACAGCTTCCAGCCTGAGTAGGTGGCATAAGGGTCCAAACTTTGCAGCTGATTTTTCTGTCTGAAATTGTCTTGATCATTCTTAGACTTGGCAGTGGGGAAGTCACTCTGGGGTCACAAGTATTTTTCTTCGGCCCATGTCAAAGAAATTAAAATGGTAAGATTTGTGCCCTTGGAAATAATCAGGACAATGTTCCTTAACTAGGAAGAAGGACTGAGACTCCCCAGACCTGCAGAATGTATCTCCAGTGACATACTAGGTGCAGAGCAGCTTTTGAAGACCTGGGAGTAGCTATGCTCAATAAGAGACACAATTAGTGAGGAAGATGCACAGGTAGCTATGACAGTGAAAATGTACTTTATTAAGACTATATTAAGGGAGAGATAAATGTTAGTCTTTCTTAGAACTAGACAATAAGAGGAAAAATATAGACATCATTAAGCCAGGAACTGATGGTAAAGAGAGGACAAGAAAATTGTGCTAAACAAAAAGTCAAATTAACTCCCTGCATATTAAATCACTCCACTCAATGGAAAGTTTCAGGTCTATCATGGATTTAAAGTCCAGGTATAATAGATGAAAAAAATCAGCTTCACTGATTAAAAATCTTATAAACTACTGCAAAATTTTTGGTTTAGAGTTTTCTCTTTCAACCCACCTAGAGGCGTAAGTGAAGAGCCAAAAGTGATCACACCAACATTTTTACAATACTCAAATAAGTAAGTCCAGAAGGCCAAAGGTTCCTTGAGTTGCATGACTGAGAAGAACGTCCCATCTGTTTCCAGAGCAGGGAGGTGTAGAGTGTGCACCACCACACAACTGCCCCAAGAATAACTGTGCTGCTAAAGTTTCCTTTGTGACTCCTCATGGGGAAGCCAGCAGGCAGCACAAAACACAGGTGAATGCACACAGATTCTGGCATGCTTATGATCAGGAAATACAGTTTCAGGAGAGGGAGTGTTACCCACTGGTGTAATAAATAAAACCCCTTGATCAAACGAATCTAGTTTGGTTCAGACTCCAAAGGATGTGAAAGCATAAGCTGCAAATGGACCAAGAACTCCTCTGGTTTCCATCTGCTTTCTGAAAATCCACAAAGAAGCAGAGTTGACCCAGTGAGCACCGAGGCATGAGCTTGGAACACCAATCATGCGATTAACACATGAATAGTGAGCAACTTTTCCAAGACTCATTTATCAAGGAACAAAGTGAGTTGTGGGTACAAGGAGTCTCATGCATACCTTTACTATCACATGTAATTTGACTGCAAGCCAACCACTTTATTCTATAAATAAAGGCCTGAGTGAGCCTTCTTTGAGCTCTCCTGGCTAAGCAGCCTGACTGCATGGCAGTGATTTCCCCTTGCACTGTGACAACCCTCAAGGCTGCCTCTCAAAGCAGAAACCTTTTACCAGCAGCAGATCTCTGGTAAGTGATTGATGCTGCACATAACCCTGTAGTATGATAACTTTGATTTCTGCCCTGGTAACTTTGATTTTATCTCAGTAACTGTTTTTTCTTGTGCCTTGGTAGTTTGAAATCATTGTTCAAATGATTGTGCTGTATAATAACAGACTGAAGCTTGCCATCAAACATTTTAAGTCACATTTTTACAACATCATATTAAAACCACTTTCACAAATATCTTTGACGATGATTCTTGAAGTGATCTAAATCCCAAATAATTTGTTCATGACAAATTGGTGTAGTTGGCAGAATCCTGAATCAGGATTCAGGACAATAGCTGAGACAAGCAGAGAGTCCTGTAAATGATGTGACTTGACAAGTGTGAGGTAAGGGGAGGAGTGGTCAGTGGCAGAGGGAAAAAAAAAAAAAAAAGTGGTTTTCAGTGGAAAGCACATTTAAAACCCTCTTTTGAGTCCCTGCTCTGAGCAGTGAATGCAGAGCAGGTATCTTCTGGGAAGTTTCCAGCTGTGGGTTTAGGAAGATCTCGGGGAATGCGCACTGCACGCTGTAACGCCTGACTCACTCCTCCTCAAATCGCTCCTGGATGGAATAGCAGGAGCAGCCATGAAAGCTGACTGATACAATACAGAAATAGGAATTTTTATTTATAGACTGAGGGTCCTGTGTCTGAAGCAGTTGCCAGTACCTCCTAACATTTCTTACACAACATGGACAGGCTAGGCAGGTAACTAAAATAAAAACAATGGACCTTTGTCCTCATGTAGGAGACAGCAGGAAAAGGCCATCAAGATTTAAGAAGGCTCTAAGGAGAACTGATCAGTCCCCAATAGTTTTTTTTTTTTTGCTTATTCTGAAGCATGAACAGGAGCTCAATCAGCAAAATTGAAAGTGTCTGTAACAGGACTCCCACATCCAGCATGTCATCAGCCTGTGGAATTTGCCATCTCCTGGGGCAGGTTAGGAGGTCAAATATTGGGGCGAGCAAACATAGAAAAGGGGTCAGGAGGTCCAGTAACAATATTTACAGTTATGCAAGCTAAAAAAGGTACCTTCAAATTCCATAAGCCAATAGCAGGATAAAAATAAATATTGGAACTTTTCAGTTCCCTACAGGCCGTGGCACAATTGCTGACCAGACTACAAGAGGCAGCTTGCATTAGAGAAATTAGATACCAGCTCTCTGTAAGTGGCACCTATGACTGCTTTTTAACAGCAAGAAGTATCTCCCATTAATCCACTTTCTCCCTTACAAAAATTCTCTTGTTCTGTGTGTTTCCAAGGAGTCTGTTTTCCCATTCTGACTTCTAGGAAGACCAGCAAAACCTCAAATGGTGTAGAGAGAGATGCAAAAAGGAAATGGTGCTGAAATGGAAAAAAGACACAAGACTGTGCAGCCTTACATGATTTATGCCAGCCAGAAAAGTGCTAAGACAGTAAATAAAACTGGAATGAAAATATTTTAATTAAAAATGTTAGTTTACCTATTAAAAGGTAAAACTTTGACATTATTTAATCTGAATGATGCATTTCTCTCCCCAGACATCTCTTATTTGTGGCTTCCAAGTGAAACTTTCACCTTCCTCTATTAAACACCTGTCATTGACAAGAAACTAGGCAGAGAGCAGTATCCTGGTGAGGTACAGCAGAGTACATCCTGAGATAGCTGGGATCTGAAGAACACATTTGAGATAGAAACAAAACAATCCAACAAGAGCCCATCACCAGTTTCCTCATACTTCAGGAAACACAGGTTTACAAATTAGAAGTATGGCTTTGATAGAAACACTCTGGCTGATTTGCCTGTAGTTGTTTATGCTATTGCCCTCCTGACTCGCCTCCAGCCCTTTCACAGAGATTTGCAGGGGGAAGAAGGGAGGAGGGAGCCATGCAGGACAGTTCTTTCCAGCAGCAAAAGGCCCATTAAATCTGTTCAGCTGCGTACCTCAGCTGCTGCAGCTCACAATCTGACATCTCAACACAACCCTGTTTCATTGGTGACTTAAGCCAATGTCCCATTCTTTGAATGGGGGTGACTGAGACAACACCATTCCAACACTCCCAGTACAGCAGCTGATACTAAATGGCTCCACAGTTTTATTAGATTTACATTTTTATGTTTTCTTGCAGGGGTGTTCCTTCTGTACAAATGGGTGTTTAAGGGATGTGTGCTGGATGAAATGTCATCTGTGTTCGTACTGGAAAAGAGGTCATATATTGTATGTTGTGTCTTTCTTTTTATAGTTTCTTACTCTTTGGATAAAAAAAAAAAAAATTACAATCCTCTGGGATGAGAAGCAGAAGTAATACCTCACCATTTAGGGAATCATTCATACTTCAAAAGTAAAAAGAGTAAACAGCTAAAATAATCATTCTGGAAAACAGGCCCTACACTGAATTTTTTTGGCAGGAGTTGCTTCATGAGTACCTTGAATGGAAAATACATCTGTGGAAATAAAGACAGGTTTACAAGTAACTTGCAAGGAAAAAAAATATTTAAAGTAATTGCATAGTTTACTTCCAGTGCTCAGTTTTGGACCAGATCTACAGCAGGCAGACTTTAGAAAGGCAGATAAATAGAAGTCAGCTACAGGTCTAACAGTGTGGACTTTTCCAAAATGCCCATAAAACAATTGGAAAGCCCCCCCTTACCACAGTAAATCCCATCTCTCACATCCCACTTTCAGTCTAACTCTGAACACACACAGAGTGTGTTCACAGCTGGGCAAGACTTTCAGTTTTTTGGTGTTTTGTGGCTTTAACTTGTGCTTCAAGGCTGTGATGTGCTTACGAGTTCCTGGTTTGGGCATGTATTCACCTGCTTCTGCAGCAGCCAGTTTGCACTCTCCAGTGCTCCAGGACTTCTCCTCTCCTCTCCCATTCCTGGAACTGTGGCAGTCTCGTGTTGCCAACAAAGCAATGGCCTGCCCCAGGTGGCTTCAGCAGCATAATCTGGGCTCTGTAATTTGGGCCTGGATAGTGAAAATCTCCATTGAGAAAGAGCCTTTCAAAGAGAAATCTAAGTGCTTCAGAAAAATCCACTTCCGTGGCATCCTTGTACATTGTGTGCAATCCAGTCATCAAGAGTCTCAGGAGCTCATCTCACTGTGTTTTTGATTAACTCAGTTACTCCAGCCTTTCAAACAGGATCCCACTCCAGGGTCACACTCCATCACCTACGCCGTTCATTTGAACTCTGGCAAAGCTGGTACAGAGAGATAAATTCAAAGGCAACCAGCTACTTTTTGTCAGGGTTAATGTTCTGCTTTGCTGTCCTGCAGTTGTTCCTGGGAGGATCACACACCTGTCCCTGACTGTGTTGCCATGAGAGCATACAGACAATGGAATACCTCCTTTCACAGGCAGCTACCCCTCACTTCAGAGCAGTAATCTGGTTCAGGTCTTGGTGTAGGTTCAGGTCTTGGTGTAGCCAGTGGGAGAAGCAGGGAAGGCCCTAACCATAACAATGATTACTCACTAGTGGATGCCACCCAGACTGCAAGATTTCAGGCTGCTCCTTGAGAGTAAAGCCTTTACAGGGCTTTGGCAGAGATTCACTGTGCCCTAGTTAGTCAAAAAGCAAGTGTGAAACAGGTTATTAGACTTTGGAGCAAGAGTGACCCTATGCTTTTCTTCCCAGCTGCCAGGACCTGGAAGTGTGTGTAGCATTACCTGTGCTGGTGCCAGAAACCAGCAACACTCACACTACAACACAGACAAATGTGGTCACAATGTGCTGGGGAGAAAGAGACTAATTCTTGCAATTAGTACTAATTAGTTCTTGGTTCTATTGTCAGATGTGACATTTCCCCTCCTCCCTTTACGTTCCTCCTGCCTGCTCTACCTGGACATGGCCACATTTCCCACTTGGGGTGAAGTGCTTAGGCCTTTCCCAAACACTGGGGTAGTATTTTTCATCTTGGGTTTTAAGGTATCAGGGGAAAATGAGGCCCGTGTGGAGTTCAATATACCAGCAGTGGTTGATCTGGATCCTCACACTTCACCTTCTGAGGGGCAGTGAAGAAAAGCAGGAGTCTTTGTGAGGGACAGAGCCTGGTCCCACACTGCATTGGACATGTCTGATACCAGAGAACAGCCAGAGCCTAGGCCACAATAAAATGTTAAAAGTGGTGAGGGACAAAAAATGGGCTCTGTAAAAGCAATCTGATGAAGCCTAGACATTTCTACAGAGAAAATTGGGAGGGGTGGAGGGAATGACCTGGGTCAGGGGGTGCTGCCACATACCCTGAGGTAAGGGATGAGAACCCTAAAGCTTGACTGCTGTAAAAGTTTATTAAAAATAGCAGTATTTCTTTGTAAAGCTTGCACAACTGAAGCAGGGAGAGCAGAGGAGCACAGCCCAGGAGGCACAGGCTCTCCCTGTGGGGATGGGCAGGAGGTGAACTGGCACAGGACCTGGGTGACAGGATGGCACCTGTGCAGCACAGGAGGCTGAGGGGACGCTCAGGGGCCCATGACCTCCTGAGGGTGACAGCAAGTCAGCATGGCCATGGCCTGTCTGGGGGCAAGGACAGCCAGCAGCCACGCCAAACCATCCCAGGACAAGCCTCCTGCCACTCCTGTGCTGCTCCAGCAGCTTGGCCTGGCCTGCTCCTTGGCCACCAGCGTGACTTCCCTTGTTGCACCTCCTCCTCCTCCTCAGCCCTCAGGAACGCCGTCTCCTGCCACACAGCCATTTCACACACTGAGATACAGATCCACCCACACACTTGTGCACCTTGCAGATTCCAGTGCACAAGGAGTTTTGGTTGCAGTGAGTAACCATGTTCCTGGTCATGGAGGTGGCAACACAGCTCTCCTGTCAGGCCAACAGTAAACCACTGAGACGTCTTTGTGACTGGGAATCCTCTGCAATGTGAAATATCTGTTAAAACACAGCTAAATTGAATTTTTCTATCTTTTGTCAAATAGTTGCCCTTCTCACCTTCATTCCAGCCTGTGCCTGAGAGCTGATCCATGCACCGTTCTCCCTTTTTGCCCCCAGCTGACACACAGGTACAGCATTTTCCCTCACTTACCACTGAAAATGGAAGCCTCCAGTCCAAGACAGAATTTCTCAGCCCTTTCTGTAAAATCTGTATTATTTTGCTATGTTTCTCTTCTGAGAACCAAAAATGGGCAGCACTTCAGGCATACAATAACCACACACAGAAGTGTGAGCTTCTCCAAGTACAAAAAGGGTGAATGGGCATTTTCACTGCCACTTCCCTATGCCTGCCTTGTGAGTCAAGTGTTTATAAAACTGTCTCTGAGTAAAGGCAATACAAGAAATGAGCTCTACTACTGTAATCTAGAATGCCTCAGGTATGTAAACATTTAACAGAAACATTTGAACCAAAATGATGGAAGGGCCCAAGTGCAGAGGCTGCAAGATCCACATCACCACTTACCATACACCTTGACACACTCCTTTGAACTAGCCAAGCTACAATTCCTTGTCAAATTACATGAATCAGATATGTGACTCTGTAATTACAGCTGTGAAAACCATTATACACAGGATCTTAGAACTTTCTATCCAAAATAACCCTTGGGGAAGAAATTTCTCATTAAGCTGCTTGGGTCAAGGTTCATTGAGTGCTGGAAATTCTGGGGGAATCCTGTTGGCAGATTTAGAGAAACAAGAACAAGAAAATGAGATCATGTTTTGGTTTGTGGCTTCTTCATGCTCTCTTGGTTTTTTTCTTTATTTTTTCCCTAATATTTATGCATATTTGCAGGAGTTTTCTCTTTTGCAGTCACATAACTGAATAATATTTTGTGAGCTTTAAAAGAAGGCCCAAATTCACCACAGACCTTGATTATGTGACAAAAATAACTGCTCCTACCAATCTAACAAGAGCCAAAGGGTAGCCAACCATTCTTCTGTAACCTATGCTTTACTGAAGGAGTATTTCTGCAGAAAATAACAGAACAGAAATACTCTCCCAGGACTTGTGTGAAAACCAAGTTCTTCTGCCCCTAGTTTTCCAAGAGTGCTATTAATGCATATCCAATGCACATCCAAGAGTGCATATCAATGAATTTAATTTCACAATCTCCACATGGAGCAAGAGGTGTTTTCCTGCTATTTCACAGATATTAAGTCAAGGCAGAGATGGTTAAATGAACACTGATATACCCAAGGGCACACCAGTGGAAGGTGACAGAAAAGACTGAGCATC